GGAGGTGAGGCGTTTATTTAGTAAGCGTGAGCGCGCTGGGGCGGGCACGTAACTTACATTCGCAGCCTGCTGACAGCAGTGTCTGTTCGTGTGTGTGTTAGAGAGAGCGCTCGTGAGCGGGAGATATTTTATACGAGGTTGAACTGGCCGTGTGACAAAGCGGATGGATTATAAAGCTTGAGAAAAGGCCAGATTGAGAAAATTAAAGGCTTTTAAGTGCGCTTTATAGTGCGGAAAATACGAGTACTATACTCTCGCTTTTATACCAGCACGCGACGTGTTTAATATAGCCGCATATTAGCCTACACCAGATTTTCTCTCAAATGTTTGCTTTCACTTTCTATATGGGGAGGCTGCACTTTTGACATAGCCAATTCTGTTTATGTAAACATTGTATGTATTTAACAGTATTAGCATAATAAGACTTGAAAGATAACTTAGTCCAGTATTCAGGCGCTGTTTGACAGGGTTCTAATGCCTGTGAGCGTCGGGGATATGCCGCGCGCTCAGGAAAGCGCACGTTAGAACAGCGCGTGAATTAAATGTTTAACCGGCAAGGCTTATGCAAACAATGAACTTTTGTGAATTGCAGTGTCCCGTACCAATTCCTTAAAGTGTGATGTGTAGGCTACGTCACGTTGTACAGTTGAGACAGAGGCGCCAGAACTGATAGAATGCACTGTAACACGATACTACCATATTTCTTCAAAAGCAGATCGTGGAGACATTTACTATTCGTGTTGTCGCACACCCCTAGAATAAACCATCTAACGACTAGTCGACTAGTCGTCGACTGTTATGCAAAACTAGTCGACTAGCAAAAATCAGTAGTTGTGAAACCCCTAGTTCCATTATTTACTCACCCTCAAGCCTTCCTAGTATACTGTATGACTTTCTTCTTTCAGATGAATCCACAAGTTTCCGAGGGGCGCTCCTGTAAAAAATAAAGTGGGTGAAACTTCCGGTGACGCTGCGGAAGTAGCATTCCAATGGTATTTTGTGTGTTAGTTAGCGAAGAGGCTAGCTGTTTTTCGGAGAATTATTTTACTATTTAAAGACGCAAATCTTTATGAGAGATGTCGTTACGGAGCTCAGGGACAACATGTGCTGCTCGCGGTTGTATGTATAACCGGACTAAACTAATTTAGTGGCTTAAACGGGATTGTTTTGAACATAAGCTGAAAACGAAATCAGAGTGATTCTGCCAGAGCCCGTCTCTGATCCTGCCAACGACTGTAGTTTCCATCACCTCCCAAAAGACGACGAATCTTCCTGTGTACATTTGTTTAAATTCTTAATGTTCTATAAACTCTCTCAGCATGTGATTGGCTGTTCGCTACTGATGTTACACCTAAACTCAGGATCAAAGCCTGTGTTGACAGAATACCAAATGTGCCAGTTAATGTATTCAAGTAGCACATTCATTTATAATTTTGAATAAACTCCAAAGCACAATGACTAAGTGTGTATTTTTTTTATTTTAATTGTTTGTCAGCTCGCACAACTGTCTGTCACCATGCCTTGATGAGTATTGATTATTAATAATGTTATTATAATACTCCCAATCAACTACTGCGGAGGGTAAAGGTACTGTTATTTCACCCTTTTTAATTTCGTTGAGGTTGTGTTCCCACATCGTTAGCTAGTTTGGATCGCTATAACTTGAATGACTGTCAACTGTTGAATGAACGAGTGTCAAGCATGTCAAATCGCGCTTTGTTTACTTCCAACCGGAAGTCGCGCCCACTTTTGACGCAAGGCCTCATGGGGCGTAGGAAACTTGTGGATAGAATTAAAAAATGTCCTGGCTCTTCCAAGCTGTTTGATGGCAGTGAAAAGAAGGATGAGATTTTGAAGCCATAAGTGCCTCCATCCATGTTAATGAAAGCCTTCTGAAGTGAAACAATGCGTGTGAAACAATGTTAGAAAAATATCCATATTTAAAGCTTTATCAACACTGTAAAAAACAAACAAAATCTTGTGTTATTTTTTCTACCCAAATCCTGGGTTGAGCCTTTTGGGTCGTTTTTAGAGGGTTATTTTTTCAGTATTTAGGTAGTTTTTCTGTTACCCAGCTCCTATAGGTCAAACGTAACAACCCAGTGATTGGGTAATTTTCCTGTGTTACCCAGACCTTGTGTCAGACGTAACAACCCATATAGTTCGCAGAAACTGAGGTAAATTGCTGTCCATTCTTACATTCAATGTCGTGGATAAATCCTTTGATCCAGGTACTGTATCCCTTAATTAACACAGCCCGGGGCATGTTGCAGTCACTTAATTCGGCCAGCAATGGTCCACACTGGAGTTCCCATTGCTGGTGCTGCTGCGTCGGAGTCATACTTCTGGTTTAGTGTACCCCTCAGCGGTGTTCGCGTTTTCAAAATGGCGCCAGGCGAATAAGGCGAATTAAGCTTTGAGCAGAGTGTTAAATGAACACTAAAGCAGTGTTAAAGTTGATTGAGCCCAACTAAAATACACATTGATCACCATAATGGTGACTTGCAAATTCCGATTTTTTTCTTTTAGTGATTCTGCTTGTTACCATCAGGTGTCTTCAATAATCAGTCATCCCTCAGTTATTCACTTAATTATCTCATTAACTCGTTCGCTTAAAATGACTCAATTCCATTATGTTGAAGTTACATGAACAAATTGTTTAACGTAACCCAGTTATGTGGAACCTGTTGACATAAAAAAGTTAATTGAAGCCAACATATAATTTTTTTGAGTATGTCTTCTTCGGTTATATAAAGGTTTGTGAAAATTTAATTTTATCTATGAATTCGTTATTGTTCTATATATCATTTAAGTTTATGTAAAGCAACAGGGACATGATGTGAGTCACCTACACTGTGTCGATTCGATCTTTTCGCGTGACGGAAACGCCCAAAGCTTGAATAAAATGATTTTATTCAAAGTTATACTGAATATAAAAACGTATGATGTTAAAATATGTTCTCAGAATTGTATACTGTTTGTCTATGGCCAGGTTATGGAGCCTGTCACCGCATATTTCGTCTACGAGTGAAACGCAGGGCGGCGGTCTCACTGTAAAAAAAAAATATTTTCAAGATTTGTAATCACAACATATTTTCTTTTGTCAAATCAACTTAAATAATTTATTTAGTTGAGATAACTTATTATTGTGAGTTTCTGATGATTAAATTAATCTCCTTCATTGTATTAACTCACTTTTTCCAGTTCAATCAACTTAAAATTTTAAGGCAACCAGGTTACTTACTTTTTTAAGTTAAACCAAGTTAGAGGTTCCTCCAAATTGGGTTGTTTTTAACCCAGTGTTTTTTAGAGTGTAGTTTCCAACAGATGGCCATATACAACGATTTACGGTGAAAGAGTGACCCCTGACCCAATGCATGACCTTTGACGAACACGGAAGTGTGGAGGATAGATCAAAACAAAACACCAGTCACGAATTAGAAGTCTAAAACGAGAATTTTTTTAGTTTGTTTGAGCCGCGAGAAGCTTATACGCTACTGCTACGCCATACAGTACATTGCGTCAAATGTTGTCAGTCCCTCCAGAAAAACGCGATTATGCGATCGCTGAATTCAATACAAAATCAGCCAAAGTCCGCATATTTATGCGGGGGCCGCATTTTTTCAAATACGCCGCACTTTCCCCGCATAAATTGCCGATTTCCGTGCAAAATATGCGGGGTTTGCATAATTTCATAATCCTCGCATTTTCGTTGCAAAAAATAAAAAGTCACATGTATCTTAGCAGAAAGTTGAAAAATGTATATGAAGTGACACAATTACGCGACGCCAGACAGACTCACGGAGGCGATTGACATCTCACAAATCGAACTCGTATAACTGTCTGTCACACGTTCTACCGTCACATCGTTACTTAATAAACAACATAAGATAAAAGAAGTAGCATCAAACAGAAATTACCCGCACACATGGGTGTTCGAGGCGCACATATAATATAACACTGCAGAGAGTTCAACAGGAGCGCGCAGCTCTTAAAGGGCCACACCTTATTTACACTCGTTACAGTCTGAAATAAAACAAGATGAGAAATTAATATATCTCCAGCACTTTCTATGATGTAGTATGCTTGCTTATCAAAGGAAGTAATAAGAAATGACTCTTACATTAGCCT